TGGTTCGTGATGACAAAGGTCCACCAATGTTGGATGCAGAGAGGAGCGGTTAAGGCACGCACAGCTCAGGTGGTGCAGGAGAGGCCGATGACGATATTGTCGTCGCTTAATTTTGGAGATAGTGGTGATATGTCCACCAATATTGATGGTAATACCACCGATATTGGTGATGTTACCATAAGGTTGGGTGAGAACAGTACCAATTCACCATGCATCTTGACTTCTGGACAATATGTTAAGGTGGACCTCGAACTGAAGAAAAGCCTCCCCACAAAATATTGGATGATGATGTCAGAAGCATAGTAAAGCTTAATACAGCTAGTCGTCCATCTGGAAGACCAAAGCAAAAGAAAAGCTTTAAGAAGGCAAAGAGGAGCAAGGATATTTCAAATACACTGACGTTAGTGGACAGTGTCGCCACTGTGGGTTGGAAAATTTGACGAAGTTGTGAAGATAAAACAGCTTTAATAGCGGTTATTGGAGAAGCGCTCGACGGTATTCATCTCATGTTCGATGGTGCGGTTCTCGAGCGTCCCAAAGCATCATTGATCAAGGGTAATCACTCCCGCTCTGTAGAAAGCAATATTCGATTCATGCTTCCACGTATGTAAATGTGTTTTTTTCAATATTGGTGATATTGGTGTCATCTTCACCAATTCTTACCGGCATGCACATCCCACTTACCAATATCTTAATAGAGCCTTTGGTGATAAAAATCATAGACCCGGCTACGAACGTGAAGATCCGCGAAGAGCTAATCAACGACACAAAACTGGCATCAAGTGATAAAGTGATTTCGAGTCTTGGCGCTGGGACGTTTAGCCTGGTGGATATAGAGCGAATGCGAACGTTGCGCGAAGTATCAAAAAGCTGACCAAGGCCCGGAAGCTGGTGGAGAAAATTTATATTGATGTCGACCACAATAAAGTGGAGCGTCAACGCATCCTGCACATTATAACTCTCATGAACGTCGACAGTGGTTTAGTGCAAATGGCCACAGTATTCCGTTCTTGGATTTAGCAGGATATGGAGATGACCAATGGCTGAGTGATTCATGTGTATTTCTGGCTTCGCTACACGTTGTCAAGGAGGCAGAACCACAAACCTGGCAAAATCCGAAATAGGTTACAGTTGGCGACCCACTGTATTTGCAGCTGTCAGATGGGGAGCGAAGGAATCAATACATCGACACAAAGAATCATATTTTCACGGAGATGCGCTCAATCGCATCGTTTGCTGCCCAACGTACATTGACATTGAATTTCCTCACTGATGAGAAATTATGACATGGAGCGCAAAATGGAGTGGAAGTATGGTCGATTCCGCAAAAAATCGATTTTGGATGCAGTGCATGAGGTTATTAGTAGCGTTTTCATGAAATTTATGACTTCTCACATGGAGATGCAAGTTAAAACATTTGCTGGATGGCGCCAGTGTGATGGACACGGCTGTGGTGCATTGATCGTGCAATGGCTCGAGCGGTATTTGTCACTGGTGCGAAGCACACCTCCCGATGCAAGCATTCCACTTGCCCACGATGATAAACTGGATCCGAAGCAGCTAGCATATGAGAGGTCAATGTACTTCTCGACGAGAAATTCTCGTACTTATTGGATAGCGTATTGACCAACGTCGATACTAAGCAGAAATAAACCATCTATGAGTGAGAAAGAACATCAAATTCATCTTGGACTTTACCCTTCGTGGGTTTGAGGAGTGTGCTGCCTGACTACACCTTCACACAATTGGCTGGAGTGACTCTGTCTAAATGTAGCAAGGACATCTCCTCATATACCCGGGTCAATTCAGTCCATTGCTTGCCCCCGCTACAGGCAGCCAATACCGCCTTGTACACATCAACTTTCAGCGTATACTTCTCTTCTTTCATCCGCGTACACGTGTCGCGCCAGCTCCGGCTGACACGAACTTCCAGCAAACTCCACGATGGTACGACAGGCGAATTCTGACAGCTTCACACCTCGCACCTGTGTCTCTATCAGCATCTCATACACGTCGTCTTCTCTATGGAGTAACTAGAGTCAAAGCGCTCTTTAGATCGTCCTGCCGACCGAAATTGGTCGCTGATTCCAGCACCCCAGTGAACGTCTTTACTGTGACGGAGACTGTAACATTCTAACAATTCCAGCTCAAACGCCTTTTGCATACACAGAGCGTTAAAGATCTTGAGGCTAGCAAACGGTTTCAGTGGAATGGCGTACTCCTAATAGAGGCACACCCTGTCCACGTACTGGTCGTATCGTTTGTGTCGGACGAAAGCGGCCACGAGCCTCGCGGCCTGGCTCTGCGTCAAGTAAGCAGCTACAGAGTGCTGGATTTGCTGAAAAAGCTTACGCGTATTTTAGTGGATAAGGCCATTCTGCTACAAGGAATCTCCTTGAAGCTTTTGGCATAGCTCTGTGGTCTGCTAGAAATAGGTCCGGACGTTGGGGACACTGCATGAGATTGCGAGGACAACAAATAAATATTCGCTGGCGCCCCACCAGCGGGTGTTTGACTGTGGATTTGTTGTGATACAGCCCCGGTTGCCAGGTCGAGTACAGCAGAGGCTTCCGCAGAGTGCGACATTGCTAACATTGCCTCAAACAAGAGGGACGTGGCGTTGGGAGTGTGTAGAATAGCAGAAAAGTGCGGAAGTAGGATCAATGACTGGCGGCAGGTCTGTAGCCAGCTTTGGATAAGTAAGTGCTCAGTCTCTAATTGGACAACAAGAATAAACAACATCTAGGGCAAGAACTGAGCAAATAAAAAGTCGGTGGTTTCTGGCTAAATACCTGCTTACTGCTAGCGTGCTAGATCCTTACAGCGTTGACTGACGAAGCAACGAAGACGTCTCGCGGAGAGCTTGACGAACCGGCAGCATTTTGGTTCTCACGTAAAAAGATTTTTGCGGGAAGTTAGACCGTCGTACTGAACTCCCGTAAAATCTCAGTTACGGGACACTCTTTGTTAAGATATACATCATCATCTAACCAATCAGAACCAACGAGTATTCCCCGTAAGCTTGGTAATCGTATGTGTCGCCTTTTAATGAGGATTTACTCCACATTTGTTGTTGTTGTTAAAGGCAAATACCGAAGTGAGTAGATTAAAGTCAATTAAAACTGTCCTCTAAACTTCAGTGCTCCTGGCCATCCACCAGATTAACCGGTTTGGGACCGGTCCATCCTGGAACGTTCAGCCGGTTAACTGAACCGTGCAGAGTCGGTGTGAATTAACAACATTTCTACATTGCAGATCAGGTGTAGATATGCCTAACTAAGGTTTTACGATAATAATATCATTGTTTTCGTTCAAATGTCTCATTATTTTTTGTAAAAAAAGTAATGGAAACATGTTTAAAAACTACTACTAGTATTTGTAAGGCTAACTCACAGGCTTTTCCGCAGTTTTCTTACCTATGACGGCGCCAACCGATGCTTGACTGATAACGATCACAATGATCTAATAAGTACAAGCAACGAAGAATCAAGAAAAACATATTTCTGGTATTCTTTTTCTTTTAAAATTTTAACGCTTGTGAGTTTAGTCGTATGCCTCCACCCCTAGGAATCTTCTCAGCTTGAAAGCAGTGTTCCGCTCGTTTTCTTTGATTTTTTGCAGACACCCTTCCTCCAAAATATCGAAATAATAGACAGAGAACGGAGCACACAACATTGTCTTGGGCTTTCATCAAGGCATTCTAAAATGACTGGGCATGCCGATGTAGTGTCTTGTGCGAAGGGGCAACTAGGACTCGATTATTGCCTTCACATTCTGCTTGGGTTGTTTTTCCGATACTTAAGTGCTCGCTGAATCCAAAATGCTTATTTGAGGCAGATCCCCGGTAAATTTTGTGATGTGCTGGCTCTAAGGAGGTCTCCTTTGATGGCAAAAAAAGTGCACCATTGTACAGTCGTGCACCTCGTATTCGGCGGGGTGGACCATATAGTCTACGAGCTGCGAAGTAACAGATGGAATCCAAATGTACTTCTTTGTTTTACCTTAATTAAGTACAAATCTCAATTACATCTTCGACACAATACCAGTGTGATGGCCAACCTTCTGAGCACCACTTCATCGCTGTATAAATATTGACGGGGGTATACTTCTCGCCTTTGTAAAACATGTCCAGCTCGGCCTCCTGCTTCTTTGTACAGTAGTGGTCCTTGAGACTTTTAATTATCCCTTGGTCAATTGACTGCAAGGCAGCGGTTGTGTTGGGAGAAAGCTAGTGAACAACGACATTAGTTAACTCAACAGGTTCGTCGTTATGAGACGACACTCGTCGGACGAGCGCTGCGAAGCCGTGCAAAACCTTTTGCGGAGAGAGTGAGCATTCGGGACGTCTTCGTAGTCCCTCTTGCGCTTTAGAATGCTTTGGAGGGTGGAGCGCTTTACGTGGGTTTGAAACTCTTGTGTGGCCTACTGAGTGAGCTGAGACTGTGTCCATGATGGCTCTGTGGCTGCCTTCCTGCACAATGTTTGCTTATTGGCGAGATTCAACGTAGAATAGGCGGACGGGCGACGTGTCATGGCGTTTTGCGACAAAATTTATAATGAGCTGTCATATGGTGAAGTGATTGAGCTGATACATGTGGCGGAAGTGCGGCGTTTTATCTCTTTTTCAAGGAGGGGGAATACCATTGAGGTTATTTGGGTCCAAAGGAGATGGGCAACTCATTTGCGCAATGCATGTGACGCAATCATTAGATTGTGGCAGGCTGATTAAGCCATACCGGGGCCGAAAACGAG